GAAATGCCACAGCAACAGCAACAGCAACTGCAACAGCAACTGCGAGTGCAGTGCCTGGTGTGAGGAGAGTGTCGGCGCACACCATTCGTAATTGTTTACGAGAAGCTAGGACCTCGAGCCAGAAGACCCTATTCTGGCCCTGTGCTGCGGCGACTACATCCACGTCGACGAGTCCAATGGTGTAATAATGTTTGATTTTCAGGAATCTAACAAAACTGGCGACAGGTATGTTTCAGTGACGAATCACGCCTTCTGCTCCAGTACCGAGACGGAAGTGCACGTGTCCATCGACGTCGAATTCCTTTTAATTCCTTTTTCGAAATCAACGTTTTGTCCAGAGTTGTGTCGCCCAGGTTGACCAATATAGTGGTGAACGTGCCATGATGTGAGGAGACATATCCTACACGCTGAAATCTAACTTTGTGCGCATTCAGGGCAATTTAACTACTATTCTGTACAGAGACGAAATCTTAAGGATCCACATAGTCCCGCCACAGCGAGTTGTTCCACCAAGATAATGCCAGGCCTCACACATGAGACTATTCAGTATCTTCAGAATAGGAACATTACATTGCTTCCATGGCTTTTCATATCACCTGACATCAACCCCATCGAGCATTTGTGGGATGACCTCGGTCGACGCAAACATGAACGTCAACCGGCGCCCCAGACTTTCGCAGGCATTGCAAGAGGAATGGGCCAGAATTTCACAAGGTCGATTTCAAAGACTTGATGTGTCCATGCCGAGACTATACAGAGCAGCGTTTAGGGCCCACGGTGGCCACAACAGATATTGAGGACAACACCCGACTGGGAACTGACGCCGTCACTTATTGAACCTTTTTATAAGCTATACATGTTCACAGACATTTCATCGTTAATACTGCCATATTTGGCTGCAACTGATCAAGAATTAAACGTTAGAAGATTAAATTAGTGTAAACATACCTATGCGTTTCTTTTGGAAGAGTATATTAACCGTAGATGATACTTTAAGTCTGCAGGCGATGATATTATATTTAATGCATGATACTTTATATTTTTGTATATGATAGTATAATCCTTGTACAAAAGCGAGTGAGCGAGTTTAGTTTTACTCCGCTTTTAGCAAAATTCCAACGACATCACGGCGGTGGACACCAGTAATGGGCTTCACACACTGTACCCATGTGGGGAATCGATCGGGTTCTTGGCGTGACGAGCGAACGCTTTAACCACTTGACTTGGGACGTATGTGTGTGTTTGTGGGGTAAGGGGTGGATGTGTGTTTGTGGATGTGTGAGTGCATGTGTATGTTTGTGGGGTGGAGGTATAAGAGTGTGTTTGTGGGGGTGGGATTGTATGTGTTTGTTTGTCGGGGTAGGGTGTTTGTTTGTTTGGGGCTTGGTGTGTGTGTGTGTGTGTGTGTGTGTCTCTCTCTCTGTGTGTGTGTGTGTGTGTGTGTGTGTGTGTTTGGAGGGTGTATGCGTATGTCGTGGGGAGTGGGGGTGTATGTGTGTGTTTACTGTCCTCACATACCTAACTCTATATTTGACTGTCCGTGACCACATACCCCGCCCCATGTTGGACTGTACTTGACCACATCCTGGACAGAACACTTAAGGTATCTCGCAATATGGATCTTGTTAGTCACCTGAATGAAGGCCTCTTGAATGACACTGTACACCACAATCACCGGTAAACGATTTCAGATATGATCACGGAATCTACGCATCAAAGAACACTGATATTGTTTTTTGTAACATGGATTATTAACATCAAGTAAACACGTATTCAGCAAACGCCGCTTCAATAAACATACAGCTGTATGCAGACTGAGGACAGATGTGTGATTACTGAACACTGAATGAATAACATGTGACACAGTGCAATATCCTAGTGGGTTATAACAACGTTATTCATTAATATGATCGATTATTACTTATGCTGCTGCTGGTGAGTTGTTGAAAATAGTACAACAAATACATATTACAAGTTGTATATAAGTAGAAGGTGTAGGAAACGAAAATATTAATAAAACCTCTTTGTAGACATGGTATATTTTTGGAACAGTTTAGAATAGATTGTCGCTATAATGAATTAGGGTATCCTTTTGACAGAGAATTGACCTCCTCGTGCGTTTAGTATTAGTGAGTGAGTGAGTATGGTCTTACGCCGCTTTTAGCAATATTCCAGCAATATCACGGCGGGGGACACCAAAAATGGGACTGAAACATTGTACCCACGTAGTGAATCGAACCCGTGTGGAATACAAATGTTGTTGTTTTTCTTAGACCGTGGTTATTCATGGTGGTAAAAGTGAGTGAGTTAGTTTACGCCGCCTTTATCAACATTCCAGCAACATCACTACAGGGACACACATTGTACTCACTGAAGGAATCAAACACGGCTTTAGGCGTGACGAGCGAACGCCTAGACCACAAAGTTACCCTACAAGCCCCTGGTGGCAAAATGTCATTTAAGTAGGGACATGTGTTGTTGACAAGTTGTTTTACGTATGTTTGAGAGTGTCCCCATGTTTGAGAATGTTATTCACATCTATAACATTGTATTTAAATAGATGACTGTATAAACAAGGATTCCTGAATCTGTGTATGTAATACACACACAGTCACCCATAAAAGGACTCTCCTCGCCCATCGTTGCTTAACTTGATTTGAGCACCTGATTTGTGACCTGAGCTCTACGCACAGGACCGCACAGAGCCGCACAGGACCACACAGCAGCACGAATATGTATGTGTGTACAAAATGTTGATACAGAGTTATATACCATATATAAAGTAAAAAGTTAAATTAAATCCTAATTAAAACCATATATAAAGTAAAAAGTTAAATTAAATCCTAATCTTCTAGCACAGCTAAGACACTGACGTCAGACAGAAAGAAGTGTTATAAAAGAATTAGGGGTCACATCTTGACCTCTCCTTGAACTAGCCTGTGGTCTTCTCTAACATGTATGGTTTATAGAAACTTAGGTAGTATACTCTTATCGATTTATGCAGCTACTGGGTAGTTAGTTACTGGCATAAACTCTGTAAACCGGGACTTTTTCCCAAAATTGTCGCAAATTTAGTGTGTTCATTTGCAGTCTGTAGCAAATAAGGAAACAATGTCTGGACGAGTATGTATTTTATGACCCACAAATGGTTTCCAGCCAGTGGGTAACTGTTCAGGTAGAAAATACTCTAAAAGATAAGTTGGAGATCAGGGCCTATAATTTCGAGCTCTCTTACCACTAAGAAAGTCGTAAGTTAATGTTCATGTATGGCACTTACGACCATCGGAGCGTATTAAAGAGAGCTTCGAAAATCTAGGCCCTGAAGTCTAGCGTTGCTCAAAAGGGTATTTATGTAAATATTGAAAAGAAAATACTTGCTCGAAAGCCCCTCCTGTCTAAACACATTTATTATCCTATCCTGAAATACAGAACTTGCCTGTCCAGGTTGACCGTTGACTTGGTATAGATAGGGAATTTAGGACATGAAAACTGTGTATGTCACCAGCTATAGCCTGTTAGAATGTGAAGCTTTCTATGAATCCAGACCCAAATTTATCTCAAATAAATATACACAGTTACCTAGTAATATCATAAAATACAAAATTGCTGAATAGCAGAAAAATATATAAAAAATCAAGAACATTGCACAATTCATATTATAATAGCTAAGTATTAAGTGTGACTGTATATATTTGTGTGCCGAATGTAGTTACCTGCATGTTCATTTCTGTTCATTCTCATTTTCAAACCAAATGTCTTAATGTCACTAAATATGTGTACAATATAACCGATATTTTGTAAATTACTAATTAATTCGTTTTATGTTAAGAAACCTTTCGCCAACACCATGTCATGTTAAGGTCAATTTATTCATGTCCATTCAAACTATATCATACTCTTTGTTTGTATTGTCCAATCAGAATGCAGCATTTTACAATATAACGTCAACTATTTCTTTGAATGTAATTTACCATCGTATATAAACTGTATACTCGTACATGGACTTGTAAAGTGGAAGAGTGGAAGAGAGACTCATGACACACTGACACGGACCCCGTTCAAACTATGCCACCAGTGTGGGCTACATGAAGACTCTACCCACAGAAAGACTTAGGTCTCATGTGCGATCCCGACTGGCAACGATAGCAGGCGTGCATGTTATGTTGTGTGGTATTTTTGACCCTACAGAGTGGGGTACTGGATAGGAACCTATGTAGCTGTCATGCATGTGTCACGTGTAATGAGTTTAATGAAAACTGTGGCCAGCGGGGACAGCGGAATACCCTCGATGTAAATATTTTGATGTCACACTAATAATACATAGATTCTATTAAATGCAAATATCTTCAAGTATCAAACTGTTACGCCAGTTCCAAGTGAACTTAACGTAACACGATGCCTTACTATTTGATTGACTGTCTCTTTTGGCCATCTCTTAAATACTCATTAACATATACACTGTATATCAAAACAGAATGGGGGTGGTGGGGTAGCCTAGTGGTTAAAGCGTTCGCTCGTCAAGCCAAAGACACGGGTTCGATTCCCCACGTAAGTATAATATATGAAGCCCATTTCTGGTGTCTCCCAACCCGTGAAGATCCGGATTAGAATTGGTCTAAAGTAACCCACTGATGTCGCAAGAGGCGACTAACGGATTCGGGTGGTCAGGCTCGCTGACTTGGTTGACACATGTCATCGGTTCCCAGCTGCGTAGATCGATGCTCATGCTGTTGATCACTGGACTCGATTATTTACAGACCGCCGCCATATAGCTGGAATATTGCTGAGTGCGGCGTAAAACTAAACTCACTCACTCACTCTGGTGTCTCTCGCCGTGATATTGCAAGAATATTTCTAAAAGCTGCGTAAAAACTATATTCACTCACTCAAAACAGAATAGTTTGTATGACAATTAAAAGTATACACACAATGGAATTATGTTGGTGCCTTTGACCAATGAAAGCTCAAAACACCAGCCAGACGCTGTAGCTCTATTAACAATGTCAACAAAGCCAGTCAACAAACGAGAGGAGCGGGATAATAACGTTCCCTCGCAGTCAATGTTGATGTCAGTTAACGACATTATGTGGACGGAAAACAGATCGTAAGACAGCGTCCAAAGTCCGTGTAAAACACAACGTTTTGCTGTTTGAGTGTCGGTTCTTTTTCACCGTTTACCTCGACTTATTTCAGTCATCGGTGTGCTAGTCCAGGCCAATATTATATATTCACTGTGAAAATTGAAATAACCGGAATACGATATGCGGCGTAAAACATCCTTCATTTGTTCTGACCTCAATACAGGCCAACACAACTGTCAGCTGCCCTATATATTCATATACACCACATGTGCTATGACCTTCCGGCCTTTATCAGATATTAGATAGTAGCCCCATCACATGAACAATATCATGTGACAGTCAAGGCATATCATACAGTAAAGAGACACCAAGGCAGTCATGTTTGTCAAAGTCGTGTTGGTTTTAGCATTAGTTTCCGTTACCTACGGAAGAGACAATAAGTATAATGGGAAGCCATATTGCTTCCAGCCTGAGAAAGAAGGGAGGCCAGAGGTCAAGTAAGTACAATTGACTACTGCCATACTTAATATGTACGTATGTACATCATCACGTGACCTATTCTGTCTGACCGCCTCTGTGGTGTAGTGGTTAGAGCGTCCACCCGGAGAGCGGAAGGTCGCGGGTTCGATCCCCGACCGCGTCATACCAAAAGACGTTAAATATGGTACTTGTTGGTCCCTGCCTGGCGCTCGGCATTAATGGGTACAACAAGGACTGGTCGGCTCAGAGTCAGTACAAGGTGTCTGAGTGGGGTATTCATGCTTCACTGCGGCATGGTATCTCAGTGGGCTAGCACTATAAAACCAGCTGGGCTAGAACAAGCAGCCACACATACACATACACACGCATGCACGTCGTCATGTGAGCGAAATATTTTCAAACACGACGTTAAATCCTGTTTCGCCTCACCTCACCTCACCTCACCTATTCTGTCTACAGTTTAGACAAACACTGACCACCTCTGTGGTGTAGTGGTTAGAGCGTCCGTCCGGAGAGCGGAAGGTCGCGGGTTCGATCCCCGACCGCGTCATACCAAAAGACGTTAAATATGGTACTCGTTGGTCCCTGCCTGGCGCTCAGCATTAATGGGTACAACAAGGACTGGTCGGCTCGGTGTCAGTATACTGTGTCTGAGTGGGGTATTCATGCTTCACTGCACTATAAAACCAGCTTAAATTTGGGCTAGTACAAGTTGCCACACATACACACGCATGCACGTCGTCATATGAGCGAAATATTCTCAAGCACGACGTAAAACCCAATTTCACCTCACCTCACCTTAGACTAACAGTTCATCATAGAGTCCTATTTTATGGGGTTCACTCATGAACCACAACCAGGTGTCTATAAACTACATGTATGTAATATCAGCCGGAGACGAACCTCTCAGAGCGCTAAAGTGGAACTGTGGAATTGGCATGAATGAATTGGAGTTTTTCCTGATTTTCCGCTCCCCATTAAAGGTGACATGCAACCAAAAAATCAAACATAATTAAAACACAATTATCACTTATTCATGACATATAATATACATTGCTGGTTACGAAAACATATAAAAACAAAATTATAAGCGTACAATCCCAAATCGAAAGTGCAAAATTGTGTACTTCGGTATACTTCCCAAGAAACGAAGCAGCCGGGATACCGAACCCAGTCAGAGCGGGTGGGTGTGCACTCAAGTGTAACGGCTGGTTCATTTGCAGATGCCTTCACGGCCTAATTGTGTGTATATATATAGAGAGATGTTAGGTTTTGTAAATACATGCTCATTTTTTGTGTATAACATTTTGCAATCAACACACATCATAACATGTCATGTGTTCAAGTATCACACCTGCCTGTCTGTGTAATTACATAATGTGACAGAGACCGAACTCGGGCCATAAATCAATGCATTTTGTTTATGGTGTATAGCCTGATTGTTAAGTTCAAATCGCTTGTGGTCAGTGATAGCAGCTGTGTATTGAATATTGTCATTAGCAGACAGGCAGGCAGACACACAGGTGTCAATAAAACAAGACATTGAGTTTTGTCTGTGACAACGACATATCTATATCACAGTTAGAAATTCTGTCAACGCTAAATAATGACATTGCTTTTAAGTATCGAACTGAGAAAGTGTCTCGGTAAGAAGAACGTGTGGTGAAGTAGACAAATGAAATTATATAAACAGTTAATTTACTGTTATAACATATAAAAAGCTCGCGCCTGTGAGATATCAACAAAACATTAGAAAAATAGCTCACACCAAAGCCTTCACCGAATATTCACCCGACAACCCGCTTCCAAGCTGCGCGAACCTATTTACTTGCGCACGTGCTATGAGCGCAGCCCAGCTGTTGAAACCCGTTTTCCCCAGAAAAGTCTGGGGAAATTTAGTGAAACGTTTGAACTTTTTTCATCGCGTTATTTTTCAACTTTATAAGTTGAATTTGCATTTTTGACGATTTGTTTCGGTATGTCCATACCGAAAGGTATCAGAATCTGCAAAGTTGTGTTTTACGTTGCATGTGACCTTTAACCTTCGATGTTTCCTTGGAGACCGATCTCTGGTTTCCCGCAACTTACAATCAGTGACAGTATCTAGACTATACTATCTGTAATGATATTTGACATTCATACATATTTAAAGTCATAGAGATGTTTATCACATGCTTCCTCTTCAGGGCAATCAATACTGTGGTTATCGCCCTTTTAAATCTGCTATTAAGAAGCGATATGAATGCTTATTTAAGTGTCAACTGGTCGTCGCACGTTATATTTCAAGCGTTAAGGAAGACATGTCTAACAAAACTTCCCTACTTTGACTTGTACCATACATTTCCTAATTTTGTGAACATACTTTCTATGACGCTTCCTCCGGTGGGGCAGGATACGCTCATCATTTCGCGAACACCTGGTGTCATCATTATTTGATAGTAAGCATATGCCCTGTCACCGTATCTCATTGTGTCAATCACTTAATTGGATAGCCCAGATTCGATGGTTTACAGACCACGTTGTAAAGCTGTAATACTGTTGAATATGGCGTCAGCTAGTGATTAAGTCAGAAATGCAGAGATGGGTGTGGAAAGGGTTAAGTCGTTTCTATTTCTATGCATTTGGTTTCAGGACCCACCAAAGAGCCTTCGAGCAACCGTTGAAAGCATTGCCCAAATCCTGGGATTGGCGTAATGTGAATGGAACTAACTACTGTGGTACAACTCGCAACCAACACATTCCGCAGTGTAAGTGGGGGCTAATGTTCGCTGCCCAGAAAACATTGATGTGAAAAAATGGTATAGTGTGTCATTTCAAAGAATACAACGTGCTTCCTCTTTCTCGGTTTCTCACATACTGACCCTACCAACTAGAAGGTATTTATGGGGCTCCTCTTCTCTTTGCCCTTTGTTGCCAATTTGATTAATTTCATCAAGTCATAATAATAATGATATAAATGTGAATTTATGATGCGCCTTTTCCACGTACAAGGCACATGCTCAAAGCGCTAACACTTTATTATCCTGGATAACCCAAGCTGCCTGTTAGGCGACAGAAGGTTAATAGTCACGTGACCTATCCCACCGGGAACCCATTTTCTGCAGGGTGAACAGAGGCAATATTTAACAAATACTAACTTGCCAAAAGTTAGTACAACTCACCTTTACCGTTCCATCAGTACCAGAAATTTGTTAGCACCGTGATTGTTATATACCTTACTCTGTGACAGACTGTGGCTCCTGCTGGGCCATGGGAGCCACCAGCTCCATAGCAGACCGGATCAACATCAAGAGGGAAGGGGTGTGGCCCTCCGCATACCTGTCTGTCCAGCACGTCATCGACTGCGGCAACGCCGGCAGCTGTCAAGGAGGCAGCGACTACAAGGTATACGAGTACGCCCATAGCCACGGCATCCCTGACGAGACCTGCAACAACTACCAAGCAAAGAACCAAGGTGCTGGGGAAGGGGGGAAGAGTGCGTGAGTGAGTGAGTGTGGTTTTACGCCGCTTTTAGCAATATTCCAGCTATATAAATGGGCTTCACACAATAATCCATGTGAGGTATCAAACCCGGGTCTTCAGCGTGACGAGCGGACCCTGTAACCATTAGCCTTCCCCACGCCCCGGAGGGGAAGAGATGATGTAGGGGAGCGGTAGAGGCAGAAAGTGTATATTATCACATGAGGAGGTATTAGGCCTTAAGTTTCGAACAGTTTCGCTGATACACCATCTTCTTTAACGAGTGTAAGTAACGTTCATACAATACGTTGGGTGAGTATTTGTTATCTGTCCAACATAATAGAACATTTATCACAGTTGACACAAGTAACTGAAACGGTAGTATACTATTCACAATCCCATTCCAAAGAACATTCGAAGTCACTGGTTGCTCCTTAAAATCGCTTATAGGGGTAGTAATATTGGCGTAGATGAATATTCGGAGTTGTATATAAATCTCCGCTTTGACTGTATTTGGTATGGCTATACAACATGTAATGTCAGTGACCGAGTATCGTACAGAACGCATTACCAACTCTCCGCTTTGACTGTATTTGGTATGGCTATACAACATGTAATGTCAGTGACCGAGTATCGTACAGAACGCATTACCAACTCTCCGCTTTGACTGTATTTGGTATGGCTATACAACATGTAATGTCAGTGACCGAGTATCGTACAGAACGCATTACCAACTCTCCGCTTTGACTGTATTTGGTATGGCTATACAACATGTAATGTCAGTGACCGAGTATCGTACAGAACGCATTACCAACTCTCCGCTTTGACTGTATTTGGTATGGCTATACAACATGTAATGTCAGTGACCGAGTATCGTACAGTTACCACAGAACGCAGTGACCAACTCCAACTCTCCCGCTTTGACTGTATTTGGTATGGCTATACAACATGTAATGTCAGTGACTGAGTATCGTACAGAACGCATTACCAACTCTCCGCTTTGACTGTATTTGGTATGGCTATACAACATGTCAATGTCAGTGACCGAGTATCGTACAGAACGCACAGAACGCATTACCAACTCTCCGCTTTGACTGTATTTGGTATGGCTATACAACATGTAATGTCAGTGACCGAGTATCGTACAGAACGCATTACCAACTCTCCGCTTTGACTGTATTTGGTATGGCTATACAACATGTAATGTCAGTGACCGAGTATCGTACAGAACGCATTACCAACTCTCCGCTTTGACTGTATTTGGTATGGCTATACAACATGTAATGTCAGTGACCGAGTATCGTACAGAACGCATTACCAACATATGTCGCGGAGCGGTATATCCATTCGCAGTGCCTTTATTTATAATTGATAATGACAAGGTGTATCCTAACTTCCTTCACGTGCATACTCGTCATTAGTGTGTGCTTAATGCTCTGTGATATCAAACTGAATATTAAGTGAACTCCCTACTTGTGTGACAATAAAGTACTACGATGGCAATATTTGTCACAATAGTTTTCACTCACTGAAAATGTTAACAATCCCTGATCACAATCATCAAGTCGTTCTACACAGATGCTGCATTTCGGATTTACCACTCAAGAGGGAGGCTGATCACAGTCTTAATCTTAAATTAAATAAAGCTAATTAAAATACTTTCAAATTCTTCTCCATTTTGATCATTTACGGCCTCTGAAACTGCCGCTTCCTCTTGTTTCCATGGTTTCATGCTATTAAGGAATGTTCAGGAATGTTTTGGTGAATATAATATCGGTGTTTAGTTAATTAATTATTTTTAGGAGCATGAGTGACGTTTTAAATACCATTCTCAGTATGTCGGCCTACATATAAGCGATTTGTTCTGGTAACGAGGATACCGTGCGTAATCTACCCGGTACGTCTCAAACAGTAAGGGCATAGTTGTGAATCAGGCCAATCTCAGCAACAGTGTCACAGACTGACATATGGCAATAATGACAACGTATAGGCCTACAATGGAAAATACCAACTGAGTGTGAAGCCTATGCCTTCTTTGAGTTCTTTAAGCTAAAGATAAATAGTAATAATAATAGTAATAGTCCGCTTATATGGCGCTCATATCCAGGCACATTGCCTGCTCACGGCGCTACGTACATTACTATCCCCGGTCATAGGACACTATCGTACTTTCCGATACTTCTTCAACTCCCTGGAATATACAGCCATGCTGCCTGTTAGGCGCAACGAACTAAACACTCATATTGCCAGCACATCCTCACGGGTACCCATTTTACAGCTGGGTTAACTAAGACAATGTGGATCTAAGTATCTTGTCCAAGGATACTACGCAAATGTGCCCACCTCGGGACCCGAACCTAGGTGCCTCCACCGGGGATCGAACCCGGGTCTTCAGCGTGATAGGCAGACGCCTTACCACTGCACTACTGCGCTCAACATATCATGAATATGTTCAAAGATAAATATCATGAATATGTTCAAAGATAAATATCATGAATATGTTCAGATAAATATCATGAATATGTTCATGGATGAATATTATGAATATGTCCAAAGATAAATATACGGTATATGATGAATATGTTCAAAGATAAATGTGGCAAATGTGTTCATGAAAGAAAGATGAACATGAATATGTTCAGATAAATATCACAGGGGCGTAGGAACGGTTTTCAGAGCGGGAGGTCTAATTTATGAAAAGTATTGAAAATCAAAATGAAATTGTAGTTATTGTAAGGTAGATATGGTTTCGCCACCCCCACCCCAAGCCATCCCCAAGCCCCCATCCCTGTTCCTACGCCCCTGTATCATGAATATGTTCAAAGATGAATGTGGTGAATATGTTCAAAGATGTGGTGAATATGTTGAAAGATGAATGTGGTGAATATGTTCAAAGATGAATATGATGTATATGTTCAATGATGAATATGGTGAATATGTTCAAAGACTGCGACCCCTTCAACTCGTGCGGCACATGCACGACGTTCGGCGAGTGTAAGCAGCTGGGCAACTACACCCTGTGGAAGGTGGGGGACTACGGCTACGTCAAGGGCAGGGAGGACATGATGGCAGAGATATACACAAACGGACCAATCAGGTGTCGATGTGTTCTTTTTATTGTTGTCATAATTTCGTTCGTGCAATCGTTCCTTTCTGTCTTCTTTCCGTCTGTCTTAAACCTTTTAGCAGGTAACTTATTTAATGTGTTATTAACTGAAACCCCAAAACTTAGTTCAATTTGAAATGCCAATACTGGCTCACATGATAACCTACAACCACTTTAGCCTGCCTGTTTAATCAATTGTTAAGATTGGCAATGTCAAGACGGAGTAAGCATCTTATCTGAACACATCCCAGTAAACGTATTCTTCCTATTTCGGAATATTTACATGGTACAAATCGGTGCACATATACATAATTCATGATAATCATTGATCTGTGAAATACAAGTTGGAATTGTCTTCGGCATCCATGCTTGTCTGAAGAGGCGATTCACAGGATAGGGTTGTCTATGTCATCGTACCCAAATCGTGTGGAGCGATGCTCGCCGGAATGCCAATGGTTTGTATGGTTCAGGTTTGTTTATTTACAGATCGCCGCCATTCAGCTGGAATATTGATGACTGTAAGCAGCTAACAAATAAACAATCCTAATATTTACTAAAGTACATGTACTTTGTTTTTCCAGTTGTGGAATAGAAGCAACCAAAGCCCTGGAGAAGTACCGCGGCGGAGTGTATGCTGAGTATAACGCTACACCAGCGGTAAGTTGATTAGGCACTGGTGGCACTGTCGCTTGAGGCGTGAAGAGTTGTTTCCCTTCGGTGTTACAGAAACCTACGATAGTGGATTTTAATTCCGTTCGTCTTGACATTCCCTTTATGTTTATTGGTAAGAAACACCCCCGTGCTCAAGGGTTCGTGAAACTAATAAACACGTAAAACAGGCGTCCCTTCCTCCAAAATACTCCATTGTAGGAGGAGGTTTGCCGACGCATTTCGTAAGATTCAGGCAATATCGCAGCGAAAAAATGCTTCTACCTTGTTAGAATCGAAGCCCGAAAGTACTCTTACCGATGTTTATTAACATTGAACACTATACACTACTCAAGAGCGATTTACCATTAGTTAGATACAGTCTATTATTCGATATACTGCAAGATGAACTTGTCCACAGCGGTAGCTCACCGCTTTCCATTTACTAGTATCTCCCTTTGTTTGGCTGTTTCTCGGTTTAGTTGATTATAACATCGATGAATTTTAACAATTAGCAAAAATTATAAATTTTATTTTCAAAAACTCCTGATTCGCATTAGCTTGCACGATAATTGATTGTAATTGTATCTATATTGTACATCGTTTAAGACAATTTCTTTGATGCGTTTCTGTATATTTTTATTGAATCACAATATGTTGGATTTTTGTAATTATCATTTACTTTTTTGCCTTTGTCAATCTTGTAATTTTCGTTTTTATAATTTAATTTTTAGCTCCTGTACCAGCGTTGGTGGCGTTTCTGAGTTAAATATTGAACTTGAATTTGATAGCATATGCGGGGATCCTTTGTGTCGTCGTACACCAGACATCAGATCCCTCTTTATTGTATCCAGCTGACATTGCCATGTTCTCTTCCCATGTCATTCAGTGTAACACATCAGTAATATATTTTGAGGTTGTTCCCGGTATTTGGACAGCATCGCATAAACGCAACCATCATCAACAATAGCGTGCGCCTGCACGTGGAGTCATCAACTGTGGCGTGTGATTGTTTCTCAATTGTATTCAGTCTCGTCTTTGTCTTTGTCAAGTAAACGTCTCTTATTTGTACATCTGTGTTGCGTGTTATGTGGGCCTGAAGACCTTACAATATTGTGTTGGATGAGGACTATTTTTATGGATATACAACTTCTTTATTCTGTATAGGCGACGTTTCAACATAGATTCTAATGTCGTTGTCAAGCAAGTGATGACAACGACATCAGAATCTATATCGAAACGTCCCTATACAGAATAAAGAAGTTGTATATCCATAAAAATAGTCCTCATTCTTCATCCACCCAACTTCTAGAATGCCAATCAAAGAAATATTGTGTTGCAGATCAATCACGTCATCTCGGTGGTTGGGTGGGGAGTGAACGCTACCGGCACCGAGTACTGGGTCGTCAGGAACTCCTGGGGACAACCTTGGGTAGGTACCGGCACAATCGATATCATTCGTCTCATTCCGGGGCAGATTACTTGAAGGGGCGATGGGAGAATGGTGGAATGGGACAAGCAAGCAGTGGTTCACTTACCAGAAGCGTTTAATGCATAACATAAGTTTCACTGACGTATCGAAATTGCATTCAAACAAAATCTGCACATTGATCATGGATGCTATTTAGCATATTATATAAAAACGTATCATTATTTGTTATAGTAAATCGGCCAATATTAACGAAATTGACTTATATTAGATTAGACGATGGTGGGTGGTACTTGTGGCAATACTGATTTCATAGAGAGCACCTACATGGTTTAAGTGCGACCCCCAACATGGCGACACACAACATATGGGGCTTTATATGTATAACTGAACTTAACTGAATCGTCCATTTACTGTGTTGATATACATGTATGTGTTCTAAATCTTCCCGTGATGAAAGTGGTCCCGTATCAGTCAAGGGCAGACAGAATGATATGGATGTTACTGACTCAGATACGTGCGGCCATCGAGCCCAATTTCACGGATTCTAGTTTGCTTCCGTTTGGATATTTGCTTATGTTGGGTTGAAGTTAAATTGAAATGATTGAATTCAGTTTCCAAAGACAGTGTTATATTTTTGTTATTTCCATGAAAATATCATGAACTTAAAACATGGCTTATGTACTGTGTTTGATGATTAGTTGTGTTTGATGATTTCAAGGTAAATGGAACATTGTTGCAGGGCGAGAGTGGCTTTTTCCAAATAGTGACCAGTGCCTTCAAGAACGGTCAAGGCAACTCATACAACTTGGCCATAGAGACCCGCTGTGCATATGCTGACCCCATTGTACCCAGACAACTACAAGCCTTGATTAACTATCTATGAGATGACGCGTACTATCACATAATGTGCAATAAATAGCTTTACACTACCTCAGTATATATACATACTACATGTATAATTTGTCATTCTGTCAACTTGCTCTTAATTAAGTATATAGGAAATAAACGTATTTTCTATTAATCTTGTCCGTCTGCTGTGTGTGATTTCATGCGGTCTGATGGCCATCACAAATGTAATACATTCCGGGGAAGACACGAATGGATATAATATATAGAGGATACTAAACGACCTTCCGTGTAATATCATTTTTATTAAACGAGTTAATGATTTGGTATCAAACGGGCGAAAGCGATTTTGATACTAAATCTTTCACGAGTTTAATAAAAAAGGTATTTCACGGAAGCGAGTTTAGTATTCTGTTTATTACTCTCCAATATAAATTGATAGAAAGTGCCTACTGACAGTGTGATGATTCTCAGCTTTCCGCGAGTCAAGCAAGGCCTAATGCCATTGTGACAGAGGTATTGGCATTGTGACGTCATAACTGTAAACCAGTATGACGTCATACGTCTAGCGGTATTACACTAGTGTAATATTGCCGTAAAAATATTACACTGCAGTATCTTCCACGGGCGAGTAATAAATATTATTATCCTTGGTATTTTTTCCCTTACTGGTCAACATGTGGGTGATTTTTGTACACAGATGGGTCTGCAAAATCCCACTCATCATAATATATATAATTTATAAATCATACATATAGGTTAGTAAAACATACTGACAGATTTAGTAAAACATTCATGTAAGTTATCATTTTTTGTTTTCTTTTTTTTATTTCCCCCCATAGGTGTAGTAAAACATACATATAGGTTGAGCAAGCATACATACAGGTTCAGTAGTAAAACATACATACAGATTTAGCAAAACAAATATACAGGTTCAGTGAAACATGCATACAGGCTTAGTAAAACATGCATATAGGTTACGGGTTCAGTAAAATTTAAACATAGGCTTTTGTAAAACATGCATACACATTTAGTGTAACATACATGCAGGTTTCATGCACGTGGGTTAAATATAAAATGCATATAGGCTTAGATACATACATACAGGTTTAGTAAAAAGGTTTAGAAAAACACACATAAAAGTTTAGTAAAACAGGCTAATGATACATACAGGTTCAGTAAACACACATACAAGTTAAGTTAAAAATGCATATAGGTTTAGTAAAACATGCATATAGGTTATAGGTTAACGAACAAACATGCAAACATATACTTAGTGAAACATACATACAGGCTACTAAACCATGCATACAGGTTCAGTAAAACATGCACACGTGTTTAGTAAAACATGAATAAATAGGTTCAGTAAACATGCATACACATTTAGTGAAACATACACCCAGGTATACATTAGTGGTGTAACGATTAGTGGTGTATCGATGTTTGCATGGTCAACTACGCGAAACGAGTGCATCGATACAAAACACATTTAGGCAATATATCAGGAGGGTCCATGATACATCGATGTATCGCCACATAAATACTAGTGAGTGAGTGAGTGAGTTTTACGCAGTTTTTAGCAATATTCCAGCAATATCATGGCGGGGGACACCAGAAATGGGCTTAACACATTGTACCCACGTGGGGAATCGAACCCAGGTCTTCGGCGTGACGAGCGAACGCTTTAACCACTAGGCTAGCCCACCGCCCCTCTTAAATACTACTTAAAGTTGTAAGGTATTAGGAATAGGAAGGGAATCTCTTTGAAATTCTTCTGAATTATAAAAGCAAATTTGTTTTGTATCTGTTATTTTTCTTACATGAACAAAGGAGTTGGTGTACAAGTCAAAAATCTTCAAACTTTGTGAACTGTAGAATACTTGTCTTCAAGTAATTGAAACATGTTTTAGTTGTTTGACAAATAGCACCATTTATTAACAACTATGAACAATGTCTTAGCTTTGTTAAGAGGGAGAACAAAGATAACATAAAATTTAGAAAGCAGACTTAAGAATGTTTTCAGTGATTCTGAATTCTGATATTACATTACAATGAATTGTTTGTGAAAGCATTGGCGTAGAAAATCACAACTTCCCAAAGGAAACTTCACTTTCAAATTTAGTTCTATTAGATCAAGGCATACTGAATATGTTTCAGTGTACTTTCAGAATGCAGACATTTTATTAAATCAACAGTTTTTAAGTTTTTGTGAATGTAACACAAGTTCTGTTGTATAACATATACAGTTTCAGTCATTTTAGCTATCATATCTGTTCTGTTTTTAGAAATTGTAAAGTATCGGGATATGTATCGTATCACCACCATTGTATCGTGATGATAAGGTTCCTTGCCAATACGTTCATGATATATCGTCCTACCTCATTAAACTGGTATTGGGATAAATCGTCTCACCACTTAGGCCACGATACACAGCACTAGCATACATACAAATCCAGAAAACTATTACATTAGCGAATCTAGAAGTAGTGGTTGATTGTAAAAGCAACGTGAATGGCCTGGTGATATCGAGACATCCATAGTTTCAGACAAGCGAGGGTTGATACTCGACCTTGGTGTCAACATTTGCATATACAATAGAAATACATCGAGAGTTCGGTTTCAGTATATGTAACTTAACACTATCCGACTAAGAGGATTACTTAATAGTTAACTTTGAGATTTAGACAGTCACATATTTCAACACATTTCAACATACCACGCAAGGTGATGCGGCATATCGGATAAACACATCATAGATACCCATATACAGACCCACTCCTAGACGTTGGACTTACAGAGAAGGTTTATTGCGAAACACTAACTTATAACCCACTGCAATATTACCAGACCTGTGCAGTCTCACGGCGCGGGCACCATGTCTTGTACATATCCACTGTTGTTCGTGCTCTGTATTCTAAGAGTAGAAGCATTCTTCCCCAACCGACTGGCAGCTATACCGCTCGGCGACAACACATGGACTCATGAGGACATAACCGAGCAGGGCGTCCTTAAAGCAGTGGCAGCTTACTTTGAGGCCAATAACACCAGGTTCTCCGAGAGGGGGTTATCACAGAGATCAAATCTGACAGCCAGTTACTTGTTTCGTCAATACTATGATGGTACGTATGTGATTAATATCAGCCATTACAAGCTGTGCGAATCGTTGTGCCAGACTTCATCATGTACAGAAGCATGTAAATATATTTGCAGGTGAGCAGTATCCGGTGTGGATGACGTGAGTGAGTATGGTTTTACGCCGCTTTTAGCAATATTCCAGCAATATCGCGGCGGGGACACCATGAAATGGGCTTCACACATTTGGGGAATCGAACCCACTTTAGTTCATATTGCCGAGAGAGTGCGCAGATATAAAATTGCTTTGCCTAATATATCAGTGAGTTAGTTAGCGCAAGTCTCAGTTATTTCTTACTTCAAGAAAACCCACAATTACGGGTACGGTGCTGACAAACTATGGTACATAATCAGGGCCATAACCGGAATCGAACGACGAATTTGTTCATTAACCAAATATGATACATATCTTGATACATTGTACCGTTTTGATATGAAATAAATATATATGAGTAATAATGGATACAAGCACATTAGCGGTAGATCATCAATATACACAATTGACGTGACACTTTTGGCTCACCTTTGTATCTGTATAGTAGACCCAACCATAGCAACAGTTTTTCTGTGAAGATATTTCTGTTGGCCATCAGTAAAGCTTCAAGTGCATATGTACATGTAGAGGCCACTCTGATGTTTCACATGCACCATGTGATGTCCACTTGAGGACGCCAACAGGTGATACTTAAAGTCCATATATACTTGTAGAAGCCAACAGGTGATACTTAAAGTCCATATATACTAGTAGAAGCCACCAGTGATACTTAAAGTCCATATATACTTGTAGAAGCCACCAGGTGATACTTAAAGTCCATATATACTAGTAAAAGCCACCAGGTGATACTTAAAGTCCATATGTACTTGTAGAAGCCAACAGGTGATACTTACAGTCCATATATACTTGTAGAAGCCACCAGGTGATACTTACATTCCATATGTACTTGTAGAAGCCAACAGGTGATACTTACAGTTCATACGTACTTTTAGAAGCCACCAGGTAATACTTACAGTCCATATGTACTTGAGAAGCCACCAGGTGATACTTAAAGTCCATATGTACTAGTAGAAGCCAACAGGTGATACTTAAGGTCCATATATTCTAGTAGAAGCCACCAGGTCATACTTAAGGTCCATATATACTAGTAGAAGCCAACCAGGTCATACTTACAGTCCATATGTACTTGTAGAAGCTACCAGGTGATACTTAAAGTCCATATGTACTAGTAGAAGCCACCAGGTGATACTTAAAGTCCATATGTACTTGTAGAAGCCAACCAGGTGATACTTAAAGTCCATATATACTGGTAGAAGCCACCAGGTGATACTTACAGTCCATATGTACTTGTAGAAGCCAACAGGTGATAGTTAAAGTCCATATGTACTTGTAGAAGCTACCAGGTGATAATTCAAGTCCATATACTTGAAGAGGCTATCCGAGGATGCTTCAAGGCCATATATATTTGTAGAAGCCACCAGGTGATACTTCAAGTCCATATGGCCTGGTAGAGGCCATCCGTGGATGCGTCAAGGCCATATGTACTTATGAAGCTCACCAGGGGACGCTTCAAGTCCATATATACTTGTAGAGGCCATCCGCGGATGCGTCAAGGCCATATGCACTTATGAAGCTCACCAGGGGACGCTTCAAGTCTTGTATATATACTTGTAGAAGCCAAAAGGTGATGATTCAAGTCCATATATACTTGTAGAAGCCAACAGGTGATGCTCCATGTCCACTCATGTATATACTTGCAGAAGCCAGTTCGGCACCGAGACTGAGGGCAGTCATCAGGACGATAGTACACGCCAATAACAGGGTGGACCTGGACCACCCACACACTGCAGCATGGCATTGTAATGGAGAAGAAATCAGAGCAGGTACAGTTGACGACTATCTGAGCATATCTCAAAAATAACCTTCATTTGGAAACCAGTAACACTGCAATAAGAAACAAGGAAAGCTTGAGATTGCGTTGGAAGGATAATTTACAAATTACAGAATAGTATAGTAGGCATCGAGAATATTTCATCTTGTCTTAGAAT